TCTAAAACTGTCACTCACCTCATTAACAAACTAAAGGGAAAAAATATGATAGTAAGGCAGCAAAAAGGATTTGGTATTTAAAACAAAACCTCTTAGCAAACTAAAAACCAAAGGAACTTTGTTGATCTGATATAACATTTCTACCAAAAACGATAAGCAAAATTCATTCTCAGTGTTTAATGTTAGAAGTACTCCTTTCTTTTTTCTCTTTATTAAATTTATTGAGGTGATATTAGTTAGTAAAATTATACAGGTTTCAAGAAGCACGCCTTTTAAAATCAGGAAAATAAGATAAGAATTCGTGCTGTAACTGCTTCCATTCAACATAGTACTGGAGGTCCCAGCCAGTGATATTCAGAAAGACAAGGAAAAAAGGGTAAGAAATAAAAAAGAAGAAACAGAACTGTCAGTATTCACCAATCCTTTGATTGTACTCAGAAAATCTAAAAGATTCCACAAACAAATTGGAATTAATAAGAAAGTTTATCAAGAAGTATGAATGTAAGATCTATATGCATACAGATATCAAGTACATTTTTCTATATGGGCAACAATTAGAAGTGTAATATTTTAAAAGTATACCATTTCTACTGGGAAAATTGGGTATCCACATACAAAAGAATGAAGTTGGACCCTTATCTAACACCATATACAAAAACAAACTCAAAATGGATCAAAGACCTAAATGTAAGACCTAAAGCTATAAAACTCTTAGAAGAAAACACAGAGCAAAAGCATTGAATTTGGCAATTATTTCTTGGCTATGACACCAAAGGTACAGGCAACAAAAGAAAAAAAACCCGACAAATTGGATTTCATGAAAAATTTTAAATTTTGTGCATCAAAAGACACTATCCACAACATGAAAAGGTAACCCACAGAATGGGAGAAAATACATGCAAATCATATATCTGATAAGGATTCATATCCAGAATATATAGAGAACGCCTAAAACTCAACAACAACAAAAAAACAATTCAAAATGGGCAAAGGGCTTGAATAGACATTTCTCCACAGAAGATGTACAAATGGCACATGCTCAACATCACATCATTCGCCATTAGGGAAATGCAAATCAAAACTACAAGATACCACCTCACACCCAGTAGGATGGCTGCTATCCAAAAAACCAAAAATTAACAAGTATTAGTGAGAATGTGGAGAAACTGGAACCCTTGTACACTGCGCGTGGGAATGGAAAATGGTGTAGCCGCTGCAGAAAAACGGCAGTTGCTCAAAAAATTAAACATAGTATTACCATATGATCCAGCAATTCCACTTCTAGGTATATACCCAAAAAAACTGAAAGCAGAATCTCAAAGAGATATTTGTACCCCTATGTTCACAGCAGCACTGTTCACAGTAGCGGAAACATGGAAGCAACGTAAGTGTCCACCGACAGATGAATGGATAAGAAAAATATTGTATATCCACACAATGGAATATTATTCAGCCTTAAAAAGGAATGGAATTTTGAAAGATGCTATAAGATGGAGGCACCTTGGGGACATTATACTGCGTGAAATAAGCTAGTCACAAAAAGCCAAATACTGAATGATTCCACTTACGTGAGATAATTAGAGTAGTCAAAATGAAAAAGACAGAGGGAAGGATGGTGGTTGCCAGACGCTGGGAAGAAGGAGGGAGGGGGGAGGTATTGTCTAATGAGTTCAGTTTCCATTTCACAAGAGGAAAAGAGCTATGGGATGGATGGTGGTGGCAGCTGCACAGCATTATGAATATATTTAATACCAGTGAATGGTACACTTAAAAATGGTTAAGATGGGGGCCGGCCGAGTGGTGCGATGGTTAAGAACTGGCTTGGGACGCCAGAGGGCCCCGGTTCGGATCCCACATATGGGGGCCAGTGACACTGCCCTCCACAGCTAAGATGCTAAACAACAGCTCAACCTGGAGCTGGGCTGCCATGAGTCGCCGGCGACGGCGTAGGCTGCAGCCCCTGCTGCAGTGCCTTGCTATGGGCTATCGTGTGTAGCCAGCAGCCAGCGTGAGCAGCCCTTAAGCCACCATGAGCGGCCATCCAGAAGCCGGTGAATGATGTGCCTCTCCTGGGAAGAGCGCAATGATGGTGCCAACTTGGGCCAGTGAAGCAACGTCCTCCACAACTAGACTGAAGAACAAAACAACAGCAACTTGTCTGTTCCCCTTCCCCCAATTCCCCAGCACTGTTCCCATCCCCCCAATTCCCCAATAAAAATCTTTAAAAAAAATGGTTAAGATGGTAAATTTCATGTTATGTATATTTTACCATACACATACAAAAAAAATGTACTATTTGCAATGGAAATAAAAAATATAAGGGTCCTGGGGGTGTATCTAACAAAAGATAAATACAATTTTATGAAGACAATTATTGAAAAGACATTCAAGACCTAAATAAAGGGGGTGATATATTTCATATTCATAAATGGAAAGACAATTTCATAAGATGTCAGTTTTCCCCAAATCGATCTATATATTCAATACAAATCCATCCAACAAAGTTTTCCAAGGAACTTGAAACGATAATTCTAAAATTTATAAGACAGAGAATGAGAACAAATATAGCCAAGACATCCTCAATAAAGAACAAAGTTGGGAGGGCTTAAAGTTTCAGATATCAAGACTTAGTTAATTACAGAAATTTAAAAATGCAGTGTTGGCACAGGGATCACCAAATTGACCAATGAGAGAGAATAGGGAACCAAAACACAATCCACATATATATGGAAACATGATGTATGATAAGGGTGACCCTGTAAATCAGTAGTGAAAGTATGAACTATAATAACATGCTAGGACAGTTAGTTATCCCTATAGAAAAAATAAAATCCTTAATTCATATCACACACAAAAAATCAATTACAGATGGATAAAGATTGAAATGTGAAATGCAAAATATTCAAAGATTTCAAAAAAAATTAAAAATATTTTACGACCTTGCATAAGAAAGAATGCTTTAAGAAAACACAAAAAGTAGAAATCTAAAAAGAGAAGATTGGGGCGGATGGGTGGCTCAGTTGGTTAGAGTGCATGCTCTGTGCAACAGGTTTGCCAGTTCGGTTCCTACATGTTCCACTGAGCTGCGCCCTCCACAACTAGATTGAAGACAACGACTTGAGCTGAGTTGCCACTGAGCTGCCGGTGGGCTGCCAGATGGCTCAGCTGGTTAGAGCTCATGCTCTTCATAACAAGGTTGCCGGTTCAACTCCTGCATGGGATGGGACGGTGGGCTGTGCCCCCTGAAACCAGATTGAAAATGGCTACTGGATTTGGAGCTGAGCTGCGCCCTCCACAACTAAGATTGAAGGACAACGACTTGATTTGGAGCTGATGGGTCCTGGAAAAAACACATTGTTCCCCAATAAAGTTTAAAAAAAAAATAAAAAAGAAAAGATTGATGAACTTGACTAAATTGAAATAAAAACCTGTTCATCCAAAGACACTATAAATAACCTGCAAAGATGAGTCACAAATTTGCAATTCATAAGTCACAAATGATTATCATCCTTAATATATAAAGAACTTTTCAAATCCACTAAGAAAAGCCACAGAAAAACCAACAGAAAATTATGTAAAAGACATGAACAAGCATTTCATGGAAGAAGAAACCTGAATGGCCAATAATGATTTGAAAATATCTTCAACCTCATTAGTAATCAGAGAAATGCAAATTAAGACTATAGAGAATTACCATTTTATGCAAACGCATTTGGCAAAAGGGAAAGAAGGCTGGCAAATTTTGATCTTGACATAAAGCAACGGGAACTCTTACACATGGCTGCTGGGAGCGAACACGGGCAAAGCCACTTTGGAAAGCAATCTTACACTGTCTTATAAAGCGGAGCAAGCACACTCCATAATCCATCAGTTCTACTTCTAGAATCTGCTGTGCAGGTGCATCTGGAGATTCATTTCAGAATGTTCACAGCAGCCTAGTTTGTAATAATAACAAGGAAACTGGAAACAAAGCACACGTCTATGGGCAGCAATATATTCAAACAATGGAAAACACTACATGAAAGAAAATAAACGAACTACAGCAAAACATCCACCTGGGTAAATGTTAGAAACACGATGTGAAGTTGAAAAATGTGGGGTGTGATTTCATTTTTATAAAGCTCAAACGCGAGCAAAATTCTATAATGCACTGTTTGGGGAGACAGGCACACATGGTAAAACTACCCCCGAAAAAGGCAAGAACGTTATAAACACAAATTTCAGGGGAATATATTTATATCTAAGAGGGAGGAAGGGAATATGGAAGGAGCACTTAGATGATGCGCTAATTCACCAGTGGTGGTAACCGGCATTTGTTGTATTATTATGACTTTATGATCTTCATAAACATTGTATTTTCTTTTGTACAGATCAGCACTAAACAGAATAAAAAAGATGTGTGAAGTGATGTATGACAAGCTCCTAACACATACAGCTGATTCGCTGTACTCTTCCAGCATGCCAGGCACAGCACTAATGATATACACACATTATCTCATCTAGTCTTCAAGCAGCCCTATCAGCAGAGGTGATTTTTATCCCATTTTATATGTGAGGAAGCAGACATCCAGAGAGGTTAAGCAACTTGTCCCAGGTCACACAGCTATGGGGATCTGAGGTGCAAAGCCTGGTCTCTCTTACTTCAGAGCAATCCCTCTTAACCACTGGTCACCTGCCTCTAGCACAGCAGGCATAAGCCAGGAGACTGCTCTGATCCCCTCTGGTCACACAGCATCACTCCCTCCTCTGAGTCCTCGGAGCACTTCCCACAGCTAACACAAGTGACCTCATATTCCTCCTCTATGAGTCTAGGTCCTCCATTTGCCTAAAGCTCCTCCAATACAAAGGCCACACCTGTGCCTTCTCTGCATTTCCAGGGCCAGTGCCGGTGCCCAGCAGTTGCACAATGATGCTTCAATGTTGGCTCGGGGGTTACAGAACTCATGTGACGTAGGGCGTTCCAGAGCCACAAAGAAAGGGCCCAAGGGCCGGGCACTCACCCCGGGGGCTGTAGCCATGGGCATCCATGAAGGAGAGTCCCAGCCGCTCGTCCTCCTGAAGGGTGCTCTGGTCCGTGAAGCTCCGGTCCACAGCGCTCATCATGTGTGTCTTCTCCTGGCGGTAGTTGACGGTTGCCTTGGTCATGTTCACTGGCTTCCTGTAGAGGAGGGTTAACAGGAGATGTGGGTGCTGAGCTGGGCAAAACAGTGCCCAGAAGTGGATGGGGAAGGCTAGCAATCTGGGGGCTTGAGGCCAGGAGCCATTCTAGAAACATCTTTGGATGCCGAGGGGGCTGTGCCTCCATCCTTTACTCACCAGACCCAGAGAGCTGCTGCTTCCCCAGCAAAAGGGACTGGGCAGGGCTCCTATCCTAGGAACTTTGCTGAGAGCAAGGGATGGGGCAGCAAGTGGCCTTGGGCTGGGACCTAGCTCCCAAGGCTCAGGAAATGGGAGGAAAAGTCACCCTGGGCCTATTTTGGTGTCACAGCACACAGTTATCCCACCCCAAACTAGGAAGATGGCTATCCCTGCTCTAGCCCCAGCATGCCCCCTACCACTTTCCCCGTCCTCACCACACACCTGCCCTAAGAACTCCTTCTTGTCCTGCAATGAGATGGAACACACTCTTCTTCCTGGCAGAGGGTCTGGCTAGCGCTCAGGCAGTGCTCAGGAGTCCTCCCTTGGGCCCAGAATGAACTCCAACCATGGCTGCTTCTTACCCCCCGCCCTGAGCCCCCAGGATGGTCCCACCACCGGCCACATTAGACTTGTAAAGAGATCCACACAGGGTCCTCACTCCCGCCACTGTCCATCAGTCTATCCAACTGCTGGAAGCAGCAGAGGGAGATGACAGGCCCACCCCTCCTGGGAGGGCAGAGCTTGTGGAGAGAGCCCTGGACAAGGGCCCTGCACGGCCCTGGCCTCCAGCCCAGCTTTACAGATGAGGACGGCAGTGTGTGACTCCATGGAACTAGGAAGTGGGAGGGAGAACAGGGTATGGGGAGGCAAGAGGCACAGCGCCATGACCTAGAGGCCATGCAACAGGCAAAGGGGAAATGACCTGGGACCTGCTGGAAACTGGAGAAGAGCAGGGGCCCAAACATAGGGAAGGCTTGAGACGACAGAACTGTTCATTTGCTCGGCTCTAGAGCATGCAGGACGTGAGGTAGACCAGAGAAAGGACTTCCCAGGTTATGAAAGCTAAGGAACACTGATCATCATGGAGCTGAAGAGGCCAATGAAAAAATCTTTCAAGACAGGCAAACTCCAATCGGCCTGTCCTGGCTCAAGAGCTGCTGGGGCAGGGGACAGGATGACCTCTGGAGGCCCCTCCTGCCAGGACCATGATGTCCTTCCTGTGCTAAGAAGATGGCTTTGTGTCCATGCTGGGAACCAACGCTGCTGTACACTGAGGTAGGCACAGCTTGCCCATTCTGGACAAGAAATGGCTCAACAAGCCAGGCCTCCTACTCCAGCAGCACCCACAGCTCGAGGCGTTGCAGGCCCAGGGTGAGCCAAAGACCCATTTCAGGGCAGGTGAGGAGAAGCCTCTGTGGCTGTGACCTTGACCATCAACATAAGCAAGAAGGTGGAAGAGGAAGGAAAGGGAGATGAGGAGAGGAGGAGAGAGGCAAAAAAATTAGGAGGATATATTGGAGAAAGGGGCAGGGGAAGGGACAGAGTGAGAGACAGGTCAGACACCAGCAAAGCACAGGGAACACAGACAGAGGAACATGGACAGAGGACAGCCGGTCAAGCGAGCTGAACAATGGTGCCCAAGGAGGACCCATCACGAGTGGATCCTGGTCTAGAAGGCGGTCTCCAGTGGTGAGCCACAGGGCTCTGCTCCCACCCAGGCCTCTTGACCTACGTGGAAGAAGAACTACAAACACCAACCAACCAGATCCACAGAAGACAGGACCCGGGAGGGACACCGAACCCTGCCGGCCTCCAGCTGAGCTCAGGGTGAGATTACGCAGATGGAGTGTAACACAGGCACTTGCAAAAGTTCTGCATTTAGGTTAAAAAATTAATTGCACACGTAGAGAGGGAGGAAGAACTGCCTTGTCAGCAGTGTCTGTAAAAGCCAAGCTGGAGGTTCTGAATGAGTTGGCAGGACTATGGTTGCTGGAAAAGCTAGTGTGACACTGGGTGACGTAGATGCAAGTAGAGAGTCCAGGGAGGAGGAAGTGAGAGACCACCGTCCTCTGGGCTGGCCCAGGGCCATCTGAGCTTGCTCTGTCTGCAAGGAGGGAGAGCAAGCAAGGGTTGGAGGGAATGTTCTAGAAGGCTTGCAGAGTCAGAGAAGACAGAGGCAGAAGACAGAGCAGCACCAGGAGGCCATGGAGTCAGATGGGGCCTGGGTGGTAGCCTCATCACTTCCTGTGACCTCTGACAGGCCTTAGCCTCTCTGAGCCTCAGGTTCCTCACCAGTAAAATGGGAGCACAGTTCCCACTTCCCAGGGTTGTTGTGAGGATGCTATGTGAAGACCTGAGCCCAGAGGAAGCGCCCAGGAAATGGTGGGTCTGAAGAGCCTGAAGCCACCTGGTGGAGAAGGGGCTCCTTGTGACCTGAATACCATCTGCACTGTGGGCAGAGCTGCCAGTGTGGGGACAGGCCTGGGCCCCCACACGCACACACATGCACATGGCAGTGGACCCCAGAGTGCGGCCTGTATGAGGACCTTCCTGGACATGAACTATGGTCTGACGTCACCAGCAGAAATGGCTCAGGAACACGAGGGGCTGCCTCAGGGGGCGAGAGGACACGGAGGTTCAGGGAGGGTAAGTGACTCGCCTGGGGTGACTCAGCAGAGCCAGGCCTGAACCTGAGACCTACCACAAAGCCAGTGCTCGTGACCTCCACGTGAGGGGGACAACACTGAGAGAGTCAGAGCAGAGGAGGGAAGCTCAGAGACACAGGTGGCCGTGGAGGAGGGGCTGACGCCAGGCCAGGCAGGGGTGTGGGAGCCCAAGCCCAGCCAGAGGGGTTGGGGGCAGAGGCTCCCCAAGAGGGGGCGGTCCCCAAGGCCAGTGGAGCTACTTACGGGTAGTAGGAGTAGGCATAGTGGTCTCTCCTGGCAGCGTGCAAAGAGAACAGCACAGTTGGGCCCGTGATCCTTCCACAAGGCTGGGCCCAGGGCAGCGCCCAGCTAGCAGGGAGAGGCCTGGTGCTTTACAGGCTGGGGACAAGACCGGCCAGAGACTGAACAGGTCAGAGGGCCTTCCTTGTCCCAAGGGCTGTCTGGGCTCAGTTGCTGAGGACCAGGACCTGAGGCCCCTTCTGGAAACTTCCCTGAGCCTGCTAATGGAGTGAGGAAAGCAGGGGGGAAGGTGGGGCTTTTCACAGACACATAGACACACACACATCCCTCACATACACTCACAAATGCAGATATAGACACGCATGCACAGACACACACGTATTTAAACACACACATTAACACATTCATGACATATTCACACACACACAGATGTGTACACTCACACACATAACACCCCCCCACTCACACACTCACTCCTGCAGACAGCCCCGCACCCTTAGTCCCAATGCTACTCAGGCTTGCAGGCCCCTCTGCCTTTGAAGGGACAGACCTTTGTATACACCTGTGCCTGGGAGGGAACAAGTCACTAAGGCAGGGAGGTGACAGGGTGACAAGCAAACCCAGGGCCCGCCCTCACCCACGCAGACTGCCCCTGAGTGTGGGGTCCAAAAAGGAGCCAGGTTGGCCTTCATGGGCACCCAAAGCCGAGCTTGGGTCAAGAGCCCTGACACGACTGCAACACTCCCACAGAGAGAAGGCAGAGCAGGTCTGATCCCCACCTCACAGGTGGGGAAACTGAGTCTCAGACAGTCATGGTCTGCCTGGGACTCCCTGGGGGTCAGAGCAGGAGTCCAGAGCAGGGTCAGGACACTGACCCCAGAGTCAGCTCCCTCCTGAGGCCCCACCCAGGTACATCCAGGGGTCCTCCATTTACCAGTCCCCACATTCCCCTGTCAGCAGGGACCCCAGGGAATAACTTTCCAGAAGGAAATCCTGCAGATCAGGGAAAGGGAAGGAGAGAGGAGGGTGGAAGACGGAGGCCCAGGGAGGGCAGGAAACTGCCTAGAGGTCACACAGCATGTTCCATCCTCCAGTGACAGAGGGGAGGGTCCACGGCCCTGTAGCTGGTCAGAGGCCCTGAAGGCGAGGGGGGTGGCTGGAGGAACAGCATTCTTCTTCTGGTCTCAGCTGAAATGTCATGGCAAGCAAGTGGGCCGTCCCTGACCACTCCCCACTATCACCAACTACATCGTGTCCCCCTTTACCTTCTCTCCGCCCCCCTCCCAGGCACCCTGTTCTTTTCACAATTCACGATTATCCTTTTGGGCTTCTTCTAGTTTAATGCCAGACTCCCCACTTGCCACGAAGCACAGGAGGACAGCACCCTTATTCCTTCCCCCCCCCCCCACCGGATCCCTGGGCTCAGGACAGTGTCCAGGACGTGAATAATCCCTTAATAAACATTTCCCTGAATTGAGTAATCAACAAATGAGGGAAATAAATAAAAGTTCCTCACCTCTATTTGCTTCCATTTCCTCCTCTAAACAAGTGAGGTTCATAACACCCTCCCCCCAACAGGGCTGTTGTGAGGTTCTGGCAACAGGAAACATAGGCTTCCCTGGGGGACGAACAGCCAACAAGACAGAATTTTCTCTGCTCTCAGAGTGCTCAATCCAGCAGGGAAGCTAAACATTGAGCAAAGCACTGCAAGTAAATAAATGAAAAAGTGCAGGGAAAAGCAAGTGCTGCAAAGGGAAGGGCAGGCAGGGGCGGGGAGGAGACTCTAGAGGCAGAGCAAGGAGATCTGACCCAGCTTGGGGTCTGGGGTCAGGGGTCAGGGGTCTGGAGCCAGCCAGGCCTCCCCTCCCCACCCTCACGGGCAGATGCAGCCAGTCTCATTGTCCACACATCAGGGCAGGATGGATGGAGAATCTGCCATCTCCTCCCAGCTGGCCCCTTGCTGTCTCCCATAATCCCCTCCCCACCAGCCACCTTCTTCCTCCAACAAGGGTGCAGAGAGGGGTAAGTGCCCTCCCACAGCAACCTTGTAATCTGTCCATTACATTTCTACCCCAACTTGATCTGAACACCCCCATCCCTGCCAGAAGAACTGCTCTGTCCCATGATATCCCACAGTGCAGACTTCGGGAACCCTGAGGAGCACAGTGGATCCTGAAGGCCAGGCAGAATTGTGTGGGTGGGGGTGCATGTCATGACGTGCTACAGAATGGGACTGAACGGCTTTTCGAGGAAAGGGGCATCCTAGAGGCTGCTGGGGTTGCCTAAGGGTTTATGAGGCCGCATCTCTGGCTCATCCTCTCCTGGGCCCCATGCTCTCCCTGCAGGGGTGGCTGCATGCCCCACTTTGCCAATCTTCTCTCCTTGAGGGTAGATTTCTAGGGCCTCAAATACCACCTGCAACCCTCCAAAATCTGACTCCCCCCATACTCTCCTCTCTATCTGTCCCACTCCCAAGCCCCCCAGAATCAACTCCTAGGCCCCTTACAGGGCAGGCCCCCTACTGGGGAGGACAGGGACTTGCCACTTACTGCACCTACTGTGTGCCAGCCATGGCGAGGCCCTTCACATCCCTGGTCATGAGGAGTGCGGGCTTTGTAGTCGGGCCTGGGTTCAAATCAGACCCTGCCACGTATCAGATGAGTGACATGGGCAAGTCACTCAATTACAGTTTCCTCATCTGTGAAAAGGGAGTCAGACCTGCTTCATGGGTCAGGATCCAAGAAGAAATGTTCTCTGAAGCATCCCAAGTACGAGATGATGCCTGGCACACAGTAGGTGCTCAATAACTAATGTCCTAATGGGAGATACGTATGAAGCTCCTGCCACATAGCAATTACTCAACAAATGATGGTTCAAAATATTTTGTCTTATGAAGTTGTACAGGGACTAGGGAAGGGAAAAAATCAGAGCCTAGCAATCTGGACAGGCCATCCCACCCCACCCCACCCCTCGCCACTTCCCCACTGCTGGCATGCCCCACCCCTACACTCTCCGGAAGAGTCTCTCTCCTGTGGGTGCCTGACCTCGGGCAAGGGGGCCCTGCCAGTTCTCCCTCATCTCCCTGGATCCTGCTTATCTGCTCCTGGCAGCTCAGAGACCCAGTGCCAACTCATCCGTGTGTGCCCAGCCTGGCAGCAGCAGGGGCTACAGAAGCCAGAGCCCAGGTGGGGAGGGGGCAGAGCTGGCTCTGCCTCTGGAACCCTGGGTGACCTTGGGCAGGTCCATGCGCCCTCTGGGCCTCAGTATCTCCATCCCTCAATTAAGGTGCATGGACCACAGTGTCCTGGGGCTGCCTGGTGGGGAATGAAGTGGGCGGGCAAGCAGAGGGGTCTCAGAAGCCCCACCCAGCGCCAACAAGAGACTCAGCTTCAGCTGCTCCATGTACTGGGCTCCCAAGGGAGGTTTATTTGGTGTTTTGAAGACAGGTTCTGTTGCTTTAAAAAGATTTGAAACCCACTAGACTAGATGTTCTTGAACTACCTGTCAGCTCTCACTTTCTGGGCTCTGAGCCTCTATAATTCTAAATTCTGAAACTCCAAAATCCTAGTTCTGGATTCTAAGACATGCTGGAATTCATGCCACCCACTGTGAAATGCATCCTTTGCAAAATACACTATGAAATGCATCCTTTGCAAACATGAGGCTGGACCTTTGAGACCTGAGGGCTGGTAGGGACAGGAGAGAGGTCTTCTCTGAGTCCTAGGCCCAGGAGGACTCTTCAGGGATCAACAGGAACAGGGTCAAGGGCAAGCTGAGCCCAAGGGAGGGTGGGGCCCAGGAAGAGCCACAGCTCAGGGTCCTTGGTTTGCAGGGGAGTAAACACCACCCCCACTGCTTAAGGCCAACACCAAAGCCTCATGGTCAGGGCAGACAAGTTGGCAGAAGATCTGCAGGGGGCTGGGAATTCAAAGCCAGGTCACCTCCACGCCCTCCCCATTGGAACAGCCCAGCAGACACAGAACTCTGGTGTCCATCTCCAGCACAGCTCCATGGCAGCAGGCACTGAGCACTCTTCCCTGAATAGTGGCACCTGGCACCAGCCAGATGTGGGCTCCAGACAACCTGTTTCAGGGCAGCTCCATTTTCAGAATCTCTGGCTTCCCACTGCCCCGCTTGGGTCCATCCACAGGCCTGGTGCCCAGGCTGGCAGCCTTCCACATACTCACCAGGCGGCTGCCCTACCAGCCCCTAGCACTAGGAGTCACCAGCCATGGCTCCTCTACACCTACCAGGCCTCTGAGAGGGCAGGAGCCATAGATGGGCCAGGGCACGGCCTCACTCACCCCTTGCGGATGATGATAATGATGGCCCCCAAGAGGAGGATGAGGACAGCAAGTCCCCCCGCACAGATGCCCAGGATGAGCCCCATCTCCTCCGATCTCTGGGATACCTCCAGGGGCCGCTTGCTTTCCTTACAGGCAGCTGGGGAGAACAAAATAAGACAAAGGATCAGAGGGGAAATAGAGACCACCTGCCCCCTGCCTGCAGGAGTGAGACACAGGGAATAAACCAGGTTGGACAAACAAACACACGTGCACAAAGACACCTGCCCCTCTCCCCAACACAAGTCCAGCCTTTCAGTCAGGTCTATCTCCTACCACCCCTCACACCTTCTGCATCCCTGTGTCAGAGGCTTTACTTGCACTGTGCCCCTATTAGGAATAGCCCCCTCTCCTTTCTACTCTCTGAAATCCTTCCCACCCTACAGTGGATGGAGGTTGAAGGATGCCTGGGGCCCTCAGACACACCCTCTTGTCTGGGAGGTGATGGGGGAGAGGATTATGTACCTCGGGTGTGGTTAGAGCATCTCTGGATGGGAAACCAACCACATTCCTTGTCTGGGAACAGGGACAATCCCTACACTGCAGGGTCTATGTGTCCCTACCTCTCCCCCACCCCAGGAAAGGAGGCAGATACAGAACCCAGAACCAATGCCCAGCACCCAGCATCCCCATGGCCCAAGCATAATGACTGCCCCTCCACAAGCCTGTTCCGGGCTCCTGCCAAGGCCTCTTCTGTGGCCATGAGGGGAGGGAGGTTGTCCCTGCTGCCCAGTCGGGGAGAAGGAGCCCTTGGGGTGGGCACATGGGGCCAAAAAAGTAAGTTTCCTGACCCCAGGCCTGCAGGCCACCCTTCTGTGCTCCCGCAGCCCTGGGTGCTCAGGGTCTACCCCACAGAGTCCAGCAAGTGAGAAACCCGCCCCTGAAGGACTGAACCCAGCGGGACTTACCTTTCCTGGCAATGCGGATGCAATTCAGCCGGGTCTCCTGGAGGCACAGATGGGGGTCTCAGCATTGCTGAAGCCCAGACCTGACCCTCCCCGGAAGGGAACCTCTCACAGCTTTGTCTTGGGCCTGGTCAGGGCTTGTCGTGTGCGGACTGTACCTAAAGACACCCGACTCGGCAGTAGGGCCTGGAGGAACCAGGCGGGTAGGGGCCGAGAGGGGAGAGGTCTGCAAACGGGGCAATGACCCAGGACCAGGAAATGAGATTAGGGGAAACAAGGAAAGACAGGGGGCGGGGCCTCAGAAACGAGGGCCGGGTCAAGGTCCGGGGGTCTGGATGGGAAGGAGGAAGCCTGGGAAGGAGAGATCCAAGGAGGGAGGAGCTTGGAGAAGGGCGGTGCTTCAGGGAGGAGGCGCGTCCTAGGCCTCGAGGTTCTGGTGAAAGCAGGAGCCTGAGATAGAAGACCAGGGCCTCAGGGAGCGGGCAGAGACTAGACTGGGGACTTGGACAGAAAGGAGTCTGGTTAAAAAAAAAAAAAAAAACTCAGGAAGCTGGTAGAGCCTGGGGCCAGGAGGGCGGGGCTCCGAGGAAGGGGCGGAGCTCAGGAGAGGAGGAGGGGCTATAGGAGGGCGAGGACCAATGGAGGGGGAAGGATCAGGAGAGGGGGCGAGGTCTGGGTCTCTGGCCTCTGTGGTGACCCCTCCAAGGTGTCCCCAGCCTGTCCCCCAACCGCTCCCACTACGACCCCGGCCGGTCCCTCACCCCCTTCAGGTGGCTTGTTGCCTGGAAGTAGATGAGGTAGGCCTTTCTAGGCTCAAGCGGTGGGTTCCAGAAGCCGCGATAGGTCTGGTTGTCACCCACAGTGAAGGGCATAGCCTCAGGCAAACTGGTGGCGGCCAGTTCGGCCCCGAAGTAATGCACCAAACCGCGGGCCAACGCTGCGTCGAAGGTCAGCGGCACTGGGAAGCAGTCCTGGCCACCTGGCTCGCGCCGCAGCCTCCGAGGCCTCTCCTCCTCCACGATCACCTGGTACACACTGGGGGGGGGGGGAGGCGAGAGGAGAGCGCGGTGACCACCAGGACCAGGAACAGGGAGAGCCATGTGGGGGCCAAGGGCACGGGCTTTGGGGCTTGGCTCTGCCTCTTACTGGCTAGACAAGTCACTTAACCTCCCTGAGCCTCGGTTTCCGCCTCTGTAAGAATGAGAGTTATCACAGGACTGTTCCATGAGGTAATTGTGGGGAAGGAAAACAAATTGAGCAAGCAGCCAGTGCCTGTCAGCTGTTCATTATTGGGACTAACTAAGGCTGAAAGAACGTGGGTCCTGTTCAGGGAAACCAAGCCGTAAAGCCCATCCTGACTTGCAATGAGTCCCTCCAGTGCCTGCCACAGGCCCTGGGAACCTGCAGCCTCAGGCTCCACCCCCCCCCCCAATACCGTGGCTCCCTTCTGGGCCTCTTAAACTAGAGTTAGACAAGCTGCATTCGTTCATTCAGAAAGTGTTTACTAAGCTCAGACAAGGGGCCCCGTGCTGGGCACTTGGGGTCTAGGCTTCCCGGAACTGACCTTCTGTGGGGCAGACGGTCAATGAGCAAGCAAATAAGGACACACTAACCTGACCTCCCCAGTACCCTCTCAAAACCCTGAGGCAGCCTTGAGTCTGCAGCTCGGAACCCACTGTCTCCAGTCCTAATTGATTGTGTGCCCTGGTCTATATTCTTTCTGATTTGTGTCTCCTGGTCTAGACTTGTGTGTTTCTATTTATTTTTATCGCTTTGCTGAATAGCCTTTTGCTGTGAGCTCCTCCAAATCCTCTATGGAACAAAGCCAAGAGTAACTAAATGAATGCTGATAAATTTAAATACTTCCAATCACAGCCTCGGTCACGTCTTGGCGTGGGACACCCCAAACTGACAACCTGCACTTAGGGAAGTAGAAATGCCTTTGCCTTGCTCTCCAGCTGTTTCTTTTGAGCTTCCAACTTGTGGGGGAATCACCCCAGCATTCTGGGATTTGGGCCACACAGATTTGTTCCCTGTCACTAGCACATTGCAAATACCAGCCAAGGTCCCTCTCAGCCTCCATTTCCCAGGCTGAGGTCAGGCCTCCCCTGACCACAAGTCCTACCAGGAGATGACAATAATCATTAGCCATGAACAAAGCACATCTTGATCTGATATGATCCCTATTATGCAGATAAGGAAAGAGAGCTCAGAGAGGTGAAGGGACATACCCAAGGTTGCACAGCCATCATACCTCTCCCTTTTCACCATGTTCCACCACCACCCCCAGCCCCACCCAGCCTTGTCATCATCATCATCCCTGAGGGACGCTGGCTCACAGGACCCATCAAAAGGACAATGAAAGGAGAAGGTGCTGCTGGGTTTCCCAAGTCCTCCCAGATTCAGGAGCATCAGGGCCTTAAGGCTCCTGCAAAATGCCCCTCAGATGCCCTGATTTTTCCCTGGGTCTCCCCTGAGAGTCTGGGAATCACTCCAGCACAGGCTCTGCAGTGGCAAATATGGGGGAGGCAAAGCAGGAGAAAAGAGTGGAGTGGGAAGTGAGGAAGCAAAGGGTGTCAAGGGCAGCTGGGCAACCCACTACCTTCTTAAGGGGGCTTAATAGGCCCAAATACAAGCTGTCACCCTTTTCGAGTGCATGTACTTTTGTGGAAGGAAGGGATGGACCAGAGGAGTAGGGAGGCTCTGTGACTTCAAGAAAAGGTACCCGCTTTTCAGACAGGGCTGGGTTCCAAACCCCAGCTCTATTACTCACCATCTGTGTGGCCTTGGAGGCAAGCCTGTTTCCTGATGTATAAAATAAGGGTACTAGTACCCACTCCACAGGTTGCCATGAGGATAAATTACTCGTGCAGGTGAAGTCCCTAGCATGGTGTCTGGCTGACAGTGAGTATGTGCACACACCCCACAAATACCCTCATGATCTCTCACATACACACACACTCACTCACACCTCCACACCACACACGGCACACATAGACCTCATGTCTTTCCCTCACACACACACATCGGCTTGTCTCCAGCACCTTCTCCCCAGCAGAGGCAGCCACCATGGCTTCAGCAGCCCCAGCTTCCTCTGGGGAGAAGGAAGGGAAAAAGACAAGCTCTTGGTCCCTCCAGAGAGATGGCCCTATCCAGCTGGCTGCCCTAGCTTTCTAGAAAGCTCACCCCTATGTCTCCCTGGGCAGGACCTCCCAGGAAATAAGCTGGGAGGAAATAAGGCCCCCCAACTAAGGAGTTCATGTCTCCGAGGTGTCTGAGGTAAGATCCTCTGGAGAGGCCTAGACAGTCACCTCTCCAGGCTGGACACTGTCCAGCTACCCATGGCCTCAGAGGGAGCGACAGCAGGCTTTTCACCTGCCCAGGATCATAGAACATCTTCCTCTGGACCCTGAGTGGGAGGCTGAGGGAGGACAAGGGTAGCTGGCCTGAGGGGCGGCAGGGGTTCTGGGTCAGCGGAGGGGCCTCTTCCCTATGGACCTGACCTCCCAACCCTCCATCCAGGCTTTCCCACCTGATGGGCGCACCACGGCCCTGTGCCGGCCTCAGCAGCACGGTGATGGTGTTCTCAGACTCGCCCAGGGGAGACGGCATGTCCGCATAATCAAAGCTGGGAGCTGAGGAAGGGGACAGGGACATAAGCACGGAGTCTGGCCACTGGACAAGGAAGGCCAGGCCTCCAGCCTCCTTGACCCCTGTCCTCAGATCTCTTCCTCTTCAGCCTTAGCCTCCTTGCTCCCTCTGACCTGAGCTTCTCTGACCCCGAACCTGAGCCATCTGAGTCCACTGACCACAGTCTCCATTACCCTCTGACTTAATCCTCCCTGACCTCTGACCTCCACCCCTATACACTTATCTCAGCAGGGGCTCTCTATAACCACCCCCAGGATGCCCCCCACTCCCCCTTCCTCCCATAGAACCTTGGGGTTCTGAGCCTCCTCCTAAGGAGCCAGACCTGGGAGGGAGAGGGGGCTCACCTGAGATGTTGGTGGTGATCTCAGTGAGTGCTGCTTGGCCGAAGCCTTTGCCTGTGCGGGCCCTCACAGAGAACAGGTAGGTGGTGCCTGGGTGCAGGTTGGAGAAGACATGGTAGGTCTCATTACGGAGCTTGGAGATGGTGCGTCGTGGGCCTGGCACGTTTACCACTGGATCTGATGACTCGATGCTCTGGTAGCTGATCTGAGGGCATGATGGACAAATAGGCAGGCACAAGGATGGTGAAGGGCATCATGGTTCAGGTGAGCTAGGGATACGGCTGGGCAAAGGGAGGGCTCAGTGGGGCTGTGGATGCCCATTAGCCCAGGCCTCTGGGCCCCTTCACCTCTCCTGCCTTCAAGGCCTCTGTCCCCATAACCTACAGGGCATAGGCTCTGGTCATAGTAGAAGGAACCACAATGATCACCTCTGTCCCCACCAAGAGCCTCCCTTTCCAAACTGTGTGCCCACCTTCTACCAGGAGTCCCCACTGTAATGGGGTCCAAACCTACCTCATACTGAGTGATGAGACCATTGGGTTCCTGGGGCTCCTCCCACTTGAGGAAGATCATGTCCTCCAGGGGAGTGAAGGTCAGGGATTCGGCTGCGATCCCGCCAGGTACTGCAAGGGAAAGGCGGCATGGGGCAGGGGGAAAGCGGGCTTTGGAGCCAGATTCCTGGTTCAAATTCCAGCCTTGCCATTTCCTAGCTGCTATGCTTGGACTATTCAACCTCTCTGAGCCTCAGTTCCCTCATCTGTAAAACGGGGTAATAATAACCCCTTCTTCACCAGAATGAAATGATGTGATATACATAAAGCAATTTCATATGGTTCAACCTATTCCTGAGTACTCAAAAAGGGTAGCTGGCATTTTCATCCCTGTGCAGGTTGTATTCCTAAAAGAAGGATGTTTGAATGCTCCAATTTGGATCCAGGTAAATGGTTTTTAGAAAATATATACGTTTGCCCGAGAAATGAAAACAACTGCATTAGAATGGTGGGATTATCGATGGAGATATTTTCTTGTCTAAAAATTTCTAATTACACAAACAATATGTTCAGTGTAGAAAATCAAAAGGAGCATAAAGAAAATTAATGGCACCTACAATTCCATTACCCAGAGATTAATACCGTTAATATGTCAGCATAAACTCTTTGGGGCATGATTTTGTTTTCTGTTGTCTGTCTCATCTTAGCAGCAGTCACAAGGAATTTCTTCTAGGGAGAGAATGGCCTTTGTTTGGGAAAACACCTTAATAAACCACTGTGGAGAAGCTGAAATCCTAAGGCAGAGGAAAGCAGAAACCAAGATAACAATCCACGAAAGCCGTAGTGCTCTGTGTGGAAATGAACAGTTACCAAGGCAACACCACCATCTACCCGCCAAAATGATAAAATAAAAAAGACAATTCCAAGTGTTGGTGAGGATGCAGAGCAACTGAAATTTTCACACACAGCTAATGGGAGTGTAAATTGATGCACCCACATGGGAACTGGATATATCTACTTATTATGAACACACCCATCAGAAATGAGTAGATCTACCAAAAAAAAAAATCTACAAAGGTTTTTCTTTACAGCACAATTTAAAATAGCTGAACACTGGAAACAACCCAAATGCCCCCAAAATAGTAAATAAGATAAGTCAATGTGGTATATTCACATAACAACTTATTCAGCAATCAGAATGAATTCTCTAGAACCATACCTGCAACATGGCTGACTCTCTCAAGCATAAAGTTGAGAGAAAGAAGCCAGTCTTTTATACAGTATATAAAAAGAATACACACTGTGTGATTCCACTGATATAAAGCTCAGAACCAAGCAAAATTTAACCTATGGCATTATGGGTTGGGAAAATGGTTACCCTTCAGAGGCTGTGAGTGGGAGCATGCATGAAGGGTGGCTTCTGGGAGCTGGTCACGCTATTTCTTGGTCTGGGTGTGGGTTATCCCAATGTGTCCAGTCTGGGAGAATTCACTGAGCTGACCACTTAAGATAAACATACTTCCTATAAGAATTATACTAATGCTTAAATGAAAAGTGAAAAATATTAAATAATGAGCAGTTATTGAAGGGACTGAGAAAGAGAGGGGCAGAGAAAGAAGAAAGAATGCAAAGCCGCCCAAGCGAGACCTGGTCAGACTGGGGTGAAATTGCCACCACAATGCACCTGGGGGCGGGGGGAGGAGAGGTAAAAAGATTTTAAGGATAGAGTGATCTGACGTTGAACTTGAGGTTGTTTATGAAGGGTAGCAGAATATGCCACTTTGGCATAAGAATTATTCTGAACTGAAAATGGAGAGGGAAATTGAAGGGAAGCAGATACAGAAGATCCCCGAATAAAGTCCTTCCATTCAACGTCGTTTCATTATGACACTGGTAAGAAAAAAAAAAAATCAATTCCCGACTGAGGCTGCTGTCTGTATGGAGTTTGCACGTTCTCCCCATGTCTGCGTGGGTTTTCTCTGAGGACTCCGGTTTCCTCCTGCATCCCAAAAATGTGCATGTGAGGTGAACAGGCGTGTCTAAACATTCCCCGCCTGAGTGAGTGTGGGTGTGAGTGTGAGTGATGGAAGGGCGTCCCGTCCAGGGTAGGGTCCTGCCTTGTACCCTGAGCTGCTGGGAGAGGATCCAGCCACCCTTAACCCTGAACTGGAATAAGCAGATTGGAAAAAACTATCTTCCTCATTTTTATTCATCTTTCTTAAAAGTGTGTATAGCTGACATTTATTTCAATGTTTAATATTAGTAGTGTTTGGGGTCTTCATTTAGAAGTTTGGTGATGTTTTCGTAACCAGAAATATGCAGTAGGAACTTAACTCTTGTTTATATCAGTTAGCCTGTGGTAAAATTGGCTTTTGTTATATGTTGTTTCACTTAAAGTCAGTTTCCAAGAACCTATTGATGATGTTAAGTGAGGACTTACTGTGCAAGAAAAGCTCTCTGCCCTCCCCCTGTCTGCCTAAAAGCAAGACATAAATTTGTAAAGGTGCTCCCCCACCTTTACCAGGAAGGGAAGAAGTTAATCTTTCTGAGACCACTCCAGATTAGAAGAATCCACATAAATTTTACCAACTAGCCCTTATTTACCATTAGTTTCCCCATATTTTTGCCTTTACATGATTTACTGCCCCAAGAATCTCTAAGTCCTTTTCCTTTGTCTTGTCAGGTCTCTAAAAATCCATTGTTCTTGTTATGATGCCCAAGTTCTCACCGCCCCTTGAGTTACTCATCACTGAGTCCTCAGTCCCATGTGTATGTGTGATGCGTGTGGTAATAAACTCCTGTTTTTCTCTTATTAATCTGTCTTTTCTCAATCTGACTTATAGGGCTCCCATCAATGAACCTAAGATGGGTAGAAGGGGGGAAAAAGTTAAGTTTTTCCATCTCTACATTTAGAATTCTTCAGAGTAAACCCCTGCCGCCCTCACTCCCACCTGCAGCAGACCCTCACGGCACCTCACCAGGCATGGGGCACACATGCTGCCATGGGTGAGTGGCTTTTAGTGGAAATTCAAGGAAGGAGCTGAATCTTTGTCTGAGCCACTGCTGTGCAGAACAGAAAACTACACATGTGGGGAGGCAAGAAAAACTGTCAGCCAAGGAGCTTAGGGCACGTGAGGATTTGCAGGAATCTGGGGGAAGGCTTTGGACCTGAACTGGGGGAAGAACATAGCTGTTAAGAATGAGAACTGTGACGCAGGTGGCCAGGTTTGAAACCCAGCTCTGCCGCCCATCTATGAGCTGTGTGCCCTCATCTGTAAAATGGGGATAGTAATAGCTGCCTAGGAATAGTTGCAGAGGGTTGCAATTGAACTATATGCATTCATATATGAAAAGCATTCAGAACAATGCTTGACAGGTATTAAATGCTTAATAAGTATTAGCTTAACATAAGTAACAATAACAGAATGCACATTTTTTTCAAGTACACATGGGACAGTTACCAAAATTTAACTTTATGTTGGGACATAAAGCAAGGATCAAATTTCAAAAAAAGACTAAACTTAGAGTATATACTCTGACCACAGTGGAATTAAGCTAGAAATCAATAATAAAAAGATAATTAGAAAAGTCCCAGTTGCTTAGAAATTAAGCAATGTGATTCTAAATAATTCTTGGGTCAAAGAAGAAATCATTACAGAAGTTAAAAAATATTTTGAACTGAATGATAATAAAGATAGGACATATCAAAACTCACAGGATATAGCTAAAGCAAGAATTAGGGGGAAATTTATAGCTTTAAATGCATATATTAGAATTAAAGAAAGACTGAAAATCAGTGACCTAATAAGCTTCCATCTCAAAAAGCTAAAAGAACAGCCTATCAACTTCAAAGAAAGTACTAAAAGGGAAATAAAGAATAGAAAATATACAATAAAGAAAGTCAACTAAGCCAAAAGTTGTCTCTTTGGAAAGATTAATAAAATGTATACACCCCTAGCAACAGTGACCAAGGAAACAGAAAAAAACACAAATTACCAATATCAGAAATGAAAAAGGGAATATCACATAGATAGACCCTATAGACATTAAATGGATATAACAAGAGAATATTATAACCAATTTTATGTCAAGAAATTTAACAATTTAGGTGAAATAAACAAATTCCTCAAACACACAATGTGATATATAAATGATGTATTATGGAATTGTACACCTGAAGTCTATGTAACTCTGCTAACAACTGTCACCCAAATAAACTCTAATAAAAAAAAAAGAACAAAAACAAATTCCTTAAAAACACCAAAACTGATACAAGAATAGAACACCTGAATATTCTAATATCTATTTAAACAATTAAAAACTGTTCTTACAAAAACATCGCCACAAAGAAAACTCCAGGCCTAAATGGCTTTACCGCTGAATTCTTCCAAAATTTAAGGAAGAAATTATACCAATTAACCCAAAGGCTTCCAGAGAATAAATATGAGCTATCATTACTTTGTTGTTACACAGTTGGTTTAATCCTAAGAAAAAAAAAATCCCTCTAAAAATGTGGGTTGTCTGTGGGAGGCTCGGAGGGCCCTGGGCATCAGGCCAGGGCTCTTACCGTCCTCGTCTGTCTGGAAGGTGAGCTCCTTGCCCTCCTTGCGCCCCTCGGGGTTAGTAAGGACGAGCCGGACGTGAACATTCCGGTAGGGCAGCAGGTTCTTGATGGTGTAGCGGCTGACACCCCGCTCCATCTTCACACACTCCCGGACAGTCTGGTTGTGG